AATAATAGCTGATGTTGTTGCCGTTGTAGTTGTTATCATTATTGTTCTTGTTGTATAATTATATGTGTTATTATAATTATGATTACATGTAAATCTCTAGTTTGGAAGATAACTGGACATATAGAGTTTAAGCAATGTTATGTTTTTTCATTATTTTGCCAGACTTGCGAAAATTTTAACAAACGTTGCTTATCACGAGAAATCATAGCCTACTGGTCACAGCTTAATCTTCTTTTTAATTATTGGTACTCCAGAAAAATATTAATTTATAGAAATTTTTTTAAAAAAATACGTATGTTCATAAATAAAGAAATTTAAAGAAAAAACCAACAAAAATCAGTCCTATTAACAATATGACATCCAAGAATTCTTGCACAGTAAAAAAAATAAAGTTCCTACATTGTCCCTCTTCAGTGGGCATTGTTCACACATGTACTAAAATACTATTTAGTCAAAATGCTCATACATATAGATCATTTTAATGTATCCCTACTCTTTACAGTAATTTAGCACAGCAATTTCGGATAATGCACCTAAAACTAACAATTTTGGCATTTACTGACCTGCAACTTTAGCAAGCAGCTTAAAACAAGTCGTGATTGGTGCATCTTTGATCGGATTAAAACTATGTCCACCTGGGGTATTCCCGGAGAGATAAATCGTACAGGACGTTATTTCAGCAGTACACAGCGGGACTACGTACGTATACTACTTGAGTAAATTTTATTACCAACCGTTGTTAAATCTTTTCTTGGTTGTTGACAAATTCTCAGAGGTAGGCGACATTGCATTTACCTAATATGTTTGATTTTTCTATTATTAATTATTTCTAATCGGAAGTTTTAGAAAGACGACTGTAATCATTTCATTTTCCTCACTGAAACGCGATTCGACTGTTTCCTAAGTAGTTGTTGAAGTGGCCTGGTACTTAAACAGTTTAAAAGACACCAATACATTAAACACTTGGAATAAACAATAAACTTTAGAGTGTGAAAAACGTTACATCATCTTACTACAATAAGCTCAGGCGAATAAAGTTTTTACCCAGAATCAAATGTGGAGATCGATACGTGTAACCGAACATTATGACCTACATTTTATTGAAGATAGTCTACACATTATAAAGTTTACTAGCTGTTTTACCAGGATGAATAACGCAGGGATGTTAGTTGCGGCGATACTGTTGCTATACGCCGGAGAATCGAGAGGCTATGGCACGGGTCCCCCAGAAATCGCTTGTTCCTCCATGAGGCCAAGCCATTACGGGGCAAGGGATCCATTCACTCCGTCTCCTTACACCATCACCCTGAGCAAACAGAAATACAAAGCAGGAGAGAGTATAGATGGTATCAATAGCTTGCTTCATTATTTCCAAATTTATAAATTTATAAATTTTTAATAGTCTGTATACCATATGCTCAATATCTAGTAGTAGTTAGCTCTAATTTTTTTTCGGTTTCAATTTTTTAATCTATCCAAAGGTTTTGATACTGCGCCAAAGTGAATTCTGGATTGTTTAAGACACATTAATACCAAGATAGAATGTCCTTTTATTAGTTAGTTGAGATTGTATTGTGTTTAAATTTGGATTGCTTAAGACACATTAATGCCAAGATAGAATGTCCTTTTATAAGTTAGTTGAGATTGTATTGTGTTTAAATTTGAAATAATGTATCTTAAATATTTATCAACACTAAATTAAACTGACACATTTACGCCGCAAACCTGATGTTAGCGTTGCTTTATAAGTTATTAAGTTTTACGTTCGTCTGTCTGCATGCGCACTTAATTATTACCACATACACATTTCACTACTTCTACTAAAACTACTGAGAGCGGAACTAAATTTCTTTTGAAAGAAGGACAAAACCTTCAAAAATACCACATGATATTTTGTGTAAAACTGTACTTTTTTTATACAAAGACTGAAACCCCTTTTAATCACAAGAATATCATCGGACTTTTCAAATCAAGGAACGGCAACGACAAAGGACGTGCATTAGGTAGTCTTGTTTGGTCGGCTTGCCTAACTATAGGTGTGGTCATTGTCTTAAATATATCTCAGTTTTGAAAGGCTATTGAATTGATTAATATATTTTTAAAAAAATTTATTAATTTATTTCAGTGACCCTGAAAGGTGCAAACGGAGAGAAATTCAAGGGTTTCTTTGTGCAAGCTCGTAAACATAACTCACAGTCCGTTATACCAGTTGGAACATTCACTGAAGTCACCAGTGTGGGCTCGAAGAATTTGTGCAAGCAAAGAAATGGAGTAAGTATGGCAAAATAATTAGTAATTTAAAGATATATCGACATACTTATTCTTACTTACCCTATATGACCGTGTATATCTGGGGTTTGTAGACAGTGACACCACTGTCAGTGTATTTTTCTTTCAATTAAATCTTATAACTGAGAAGTCTAACATCGAACGAAATATTTGTGCTGTCAATGCAAATTATCACCTGTAACATGTTGGTATCAATCCGATCAATTATTCCACAATAAAAGGGAATGTTGTAAGGCTTACAAAGACACCATTGGTGTTGTCAAGAATGTTTTACAATATTGAAAAATGATCAATGTGTGGAAAGTAGCAACCAAGCTAATTTTGCCTTTATAACCAAAAGGAAAGCATTTCTGTGAAAAAAGTTTACAGATAAGAACATTGGAGGCCCGATTATTAGGCCTATGGGAGTGGCAACCCCATTTTTTATGTCGCTTTTTCTAGAATGGTTGTGTCGCTTATAAAATTCTGATTTATAATGTACAAAGAGTGAATCGTTTTATATTTCTGAGATTTAATAGAGGTGCTGGCAATGAATTGTGCAAGTGCTTTCGATTGAAATCCCCCCCCCCCCCGTCCCCCGTGAAAACAACAACACGTACATGACAGGACACGGGTTCATCTAGCATCCGCCTGTTAAAGTCATCACAACAGTAAACCTCAATTTGAATACAACAAACTGACCTAACTACTCTGTTCTCTGAATGACCATGGATGATAGGCCTAAATGCTTTCCGGAAATTTCTTTCATTATTTCTATTATCTATGTAAGGTTATTTTACAAGATTTTCTAACGCCACATGGTTTAATGCCTATATCAAGGCTGGATTTGTAGTCGACTATAGAAGGAATCAAGTTTCTAGCTAGATAATCCCTTCGTCAGCATTTCTTACATTTGTTATTAAAAGAGGACGATTTTTTTCGAAGGTCATTGCTGACGTGAAATCACCTTTGACAATCACCGAAATTAATCAAACGCCCAAGTACAACTGTAGGCCTACATAATAATAATAATAAAAATATATTTCAGCTTGAAATGATACATATTAACATTGATGGCTATATTTTAGTCAGGTCGCAGCCTGTATTTATACTGCGCTGGAACCAATGAATAATGAATGATAATAAAATCGGCTTCTGTGCATGGTCATCGCTCGTTTAAGACCGGAAAAGTAGGCTAGAATTTGCGTATTAAAGCCGTTTTCAAATCTGGTGCCGATTTATTATTAAACTGATGTTGAACCACACATTTATAGAAAGATCAAACCTTCAGGAGTTTACAGGTGCCAAAAAAGAAGCTTAAATTAAATCTGAGAATAAATCGACCTGAAGGCCCATTTTTCTGGCCGATTTTGGTTGAACATTCTTGAAAATACATTCTTGGCGTTTTGTACAATGTTAGATTTTAAATTATCCGTTTTCCATTCTCGGCATTCATGTGAGCACTCAAACATTTTTATATGTTTAAATTTTAAAATATCAACCGTTTACCATTCAGGATCATGGCATAAGTCACTCCAATCCCAATCAGAAGTCGGAGGTAGTACTCAGGTGGACTGCTCCAGCAAAATCTGCAGGTGACATAGTGTTCAGGTGAGATTATACTGCATCAAACCAGCTTGTAATCACAATAATAGTAATAAATAGTATAAATAAAATACGAGCTAAGTCACTGCAGTGTGTTTTACATTGATTAAAAGAGAATAACACGATAGCTAGTTCTTATATGCTGCTTTCATTGCTTTCAAGATGTATAGCACTTTTGTAACGTTTTCCATTTCTTTATTTCATTAATACCCCGTTTTGTAATAACTTCAACAATCTTAATGTACATGGCCATTACAAGTTCAGTGCGAGGTATCAGTTTTAAATGACTGCACGGGCACCCCAACAACAGGGTAGCAAACACAAGTTCTTTGCATACATTTTAATGTACATGTATATATGTTTTTGTATGTGTGATTGTGTAAAACTTAATATCTGTTTAAAAATATCTGCTTTCAGAGTCACAGTAGTTATGGCTTATGACACTTTCTGGGACAATCAAGAGTCTGCAGTGGTGAAAGAGGTTAATTCTTCTGGTGCAGTCATTGGATAGAGAAGTCCTGATGACATGGGCTACATCATTTAAAAGCACTGTTATCTGTAAATTCACATTCTGGAAAATGTGATTTCAAATTATGATGGAATAAAAGATCCAAATCCACTAAAAGCATTCAGAGTTTTTATCTACATTTTTCTTATCCACTTCTCTAATATTTCTTCACAGCTATCACCATAAACAGTCTTCTGGCTGGTCTTCTATCATCTAGTATGGTTGTCTGTAGGCCAGTGACAGCATCAGGCCTGGTGCATTCTAGTACCTAGCCCAAAAGGTGAAAATCTACTATCACTTGAGGGTGCCATCACACAAGTCTGTGCACTGGTCTTCCATAACACAGTCGTGTCCCCACTGCTATGATGTCACATAACAGTCTGATGGCACACAGTAGTCTGCCCACTGGACTTCAATCACTTCTTAATCTGCCCACTGGCCTGCAATCACTTCTTAGTCTGCCCATTGGATTGCAATCACTTGTTAGGCTGTCCACTGGACTGTAATCACTTCTTAGGCTGTCCACTGGACTGCAATCACTTCTTAGGCTGTCCACTGGACTGCAATCACTTCTTAGGCTGTCCACTGGACTGCAATCACTTCTTAGTTTGCCCACTGGATTGCAAACACTTCTTAGTCTGCCCACTGGATTGCAATCAATTCTTAGCCTGTCCACTGGATTGCAATCACTTTTTAGTCTGCCCACAGAATTGCAATCACTTCTAAGTCTGTCCACTGGATTGCAATCACTTTCTTGGTATGCCCACTGGATTGCAATCACTTCTTAGTCTGCCTACTGGACTACAATCACTTCCTTGTCTGCCCACTGGATTGCAATCACCTCTTACTCTGCCTACTGGATTGCAATCACTTCCTAGGCTGTCCCATGGCCTTCAATGGCTTAGTAGTCTGCCCACTGCCCTGCTATCACTTCCATGCACCTGTCACATGGCTGTGTAGAGGAAGCAGCCAGATATCTGTAGCACCTTGGACACTTGTGATTCTCAGCAGGAAGAATGACTAGAGTATAAGGCTCTTCTTTTGAGGTGCCATCTGAAAGAAACATTTAATCAAGTCAAAACACACACACATTGTTTTCTGTTGCACAGTGTGTGTTTGCTAAATAACAAGCCAGTTTCAACTGACAACAACAAAGTACAGACAAAGTAAACAAAATCCTGTTCAAAACTGCATTTTTTCACACCAAATTCATGATACCTCTTTAAAACACTGATACGCAAAAAAAGAACTTTAATGATTATAGCACTGGTCACCATCAATGTCATGATAACCGTAATAAGGAGGAGATGAAGAATAATTTCTTCAAAACTGTAAACTGTATCCATAAAGACAGTATGTTTACTACACAAATTAATAGTTGTGTGGGAACTTGTGCTTGCTGTATTAAAATAGCACAAAACCCTTACCTTTATGTTTAAATGGCCACTTTCCAGAGACAATTTGTGAGTCATCAGGCAGTATGGGGGGTGGTTTCCCTAGAACAGTGGTTACAGCTGCCTGGAAGACCTCATTCAGAGGAGAAGTACAGCTGGGATAGCCCTCTGGCTGAAATACCTGAGAGAAGAGATTTTATTATAAAACTTATCTAGGATAATTAATAGAAACCTCAAGTTGCAATATCTGTGTTAATGCCACATGAAACAAGTATGTAAGTTATTTTGTCAATGTAAAATGTAAGCTAAATTTACTCCATTCCAGTATATCCAATCATGTATAACAGTTAGCTGAGAAGTGTAGAGAATACTACGGATTTACATACAACAGTTATGATGTCCAGAATAATAATTCAATAAAATATACTTTCATCCACATGCTCTGTTTCCTGATGAACTTAACCCTACGTTGTATAAGTGACATGTAAATTAATCACAGAAATCATACTATTACCTTCATACAGTTCCGCAGTGGTGAAGATGTGTGAATCACCACATCAAACTCCTTGGCCTGAGAGTTGTTATCCAGAGCATAGTAGAACTTCTCCCTCAGTCCCAGCACTATCTCCATGACTTCACTTATATCAGGGTTGTTCCAGCTGGGGTCACACTTGAACGAGCCTGATTTGAACACACTTCTTTCTCCTTGGATCAAAAAGCAAAACCAGGATTATATAACAGCTGGACAGCACTTCTGACAAATCATAATATATTATTTTAAAAAAGCTTCACATGTAAGATTGAATTGTTGCAAGACAAAATATTAAAATCTGTGTTTTGCCCAGCACTTTGAATTCATAAAATTCTGCAATATGTATGCAAAAAACTTATAAATTCTATCACTTTCTCTCACACACACCTTGTATGATTGGCAGAGAGGAATATGTTCCCTCAGCGATATGTGGAGTAATAGGAGCCAATGTGTGCAGTAAAGTGTCTGTGAGATACCAGAACACTGTCAGTGCTGAGAGCCGAGACACACTGTATTTTTCACTACAAAGTAGTCTGAAATAATGAAGAAAATGTTTATTCATATTATATCAGTGCATTACTTTTCACATTCTCAACATTCAATAACATTTCATTCAATTTCCGAGGGTTAAAGCCAATTTATACATGATTAAATAAAAAATGCAAGTGCTATTCATATTACTTATAAAAACATGTTCTGGGTTATATGCAGATTTTTCTTCGGTAATACTGTGAACAACAACATTGTATATCATACCTGTCTTTCGTTACATGGCAGTAAAAAGAAGACAATTCATCTATAAAGTTTTCCGTTCTGTTTAAGACTCTAGCAAATTCGTAATTTTCATAGGCGGAAGTTGTCTGAAATACGCAAAGGGTGCATGCACTAGAACCTGATAACAAACTTCACACCACTGATTCTGAGGGAACATTTGTACCAGAAGTCTGTTTATTGTCATTTTTAATATTTTTAAGCTGGATAATCACCGTTCTTTTCATTCAATTTTTACAAATTAAAGACTAAATGCAGCACTTACTTTATGACTAAACTGATACAATAAATGCAGCATATACTTGTCTTGGGGGAGTAGCTGTGTGTATTCAACTAGTTTGTCTGAAGAATCCAGATCTTGAATGTTTCCTACCAAATACCTGAGAACTTTGCTTATCTGAAATGATAATATCAGAAAACCCACAGTTCAAATGTAACTAATTGATAAGATTAGCATCTTTATCAAAACTGAAAGGTTACTCAGCTCCAAAATTTAAACAATGATGAAGAAATTTGATTTCTAATCTCAAAAATTTTTATTAACCATCATTAACATTCTGAAATGTTACCATTCTTGTTTAAATGTAATCAACTAAAAAGATGCAATCATACCTTTAACAACCTGGTGTTGTGTTTCTTAAGTATGCTGGGGCCTATACTGACTTGGTTATCTTGGTAATTGTACGCAGCCCAGTAGCGCAATAAATCAATACCAAATGCTGGCTCGTTTTCTTTGTCCTAGTCATAACATAGAATTCAAAATGTTTAAGCTGCAGGGTGTAAAAAACTTCGAACTTCCACATCTGAAAACTTGTTTTCATTGTCAATCTTACTTTTACTGGAAATCAGTTTATAATAAGAGTCAAAGCATGCAGGCAAATAAAATGCATGTATAACACTAGTGCAGGTAATGGTTAAAACAAAAGCTGAGATGCACCAGTGACTTCAAACACCAATCATAAACCAGGGGTAATACAGACGACATCTTAGGCATAGATGAGACAAGACAATCACTAAAAGGAAAAATAATTCTGTATCTAGTATGTCTGTTTTTATAATTTGTACTGTAACAAAAAATATCAATAAAAAACACTTTAATTCTCATTATTGCAATCATCTCAATGGTACTATTCATAATAAAACTTTAATTCTTTAAATGTGAGACCCACCTTTCCTCCATATATCACAGAATTAGGGTGCACAACATTTCCTACAGACTTGGACATTTTCTTTCCATCTTCATCAGTGACAAATCCATGGACTAACAGTTTCCTAAAGAGTTAATAAAATTCTCAATAAATCTGATGTGAAACAGATATACACTTATGTAATATACCTCAACAACACATATAAATAAATAAATAAATAAATAAATAAATAAATAAATATTTTTAAAATGTCTGATAATGCTCCTTTATAAATATACAAATACATTCAGTGTCTGTACATAATTATGCATTTAACTACCATTTAAGCACCTATTCATTCAATATAATTTTCTACCAAACAATTAAAAGACTTGTCATCAAAACAACTTTGTTTTATATTTCATATCATAAAATCAAGAAAAAAATCATTAATTTTGATAAAAAAAAACTTTTTTCATTTTCAAATCAATATGCCTCTTATGCCATTACCTGTATGGGGATATATTGTTAACGGCTGTACTTGTCAGCAAAGAGGACTGGAACCATCCACCAAACTGATCATAACCCTCAGCATAAAGATCTGCTTGGTAATTGTGGTCTGTAAGGACAGTTGTTTTTTAATAAACTGATCATAACCCTCAGCATAAAGATCTGCTTGGTAATTGTGGTCTGTAAGGACAGTTGTTTTTTAATAAGCTAAACATAGCCCTCAGCATAAAGATCAGCTTGGTAATTGTAGTTTGTATAGACAACCTTTTTTAAATAAACAAAAGTTTGGACTTTAAAATGATATTTTAATCATTAAAATGAGAGCTACTGTCACAAATGCCAAACCCTTATTATGCTCAAATTAACACAGAATTTTTTGTCATACTGAAATTTTACTTTGGCTTTTGATAAATGTTTTTTTTACTAAATCACTATTTAAAACAAGTCATTTACTTAAAACAAAGCATGTGCAAGGCTGACATAAAATTTAATTGATTCAAACTTCAAGCACAATTAATCATGGCAAGTAGACTAGCACATATGGTAATTCTCCAATCTATACGAATGATNAAAAGTGCACGGCGACGACGGCGACGACAGACGCAGATGATGGCTATATGTACAGACACATCTGTGTCTGTACATAACAAAAGTTGAGATTTGCCAGTTACTTCAAACACCAATCATTACCTAGGTTCAACTTAGGCAACATCTTAAATATAAAGGAGACAAGGCAATGACTTAACCAAAACTTCCAAAACAAATGACAAAATTCAATATCTGGTCTGTCCCTTTCGTTCATCAAAAATGAAAACTCAATACAAATTTGCATAAAAATCATTAATAGATGGCATATATTCATATTATTGCCATCGTGCAAAAAGTAATATTAATAATAACAATTATATGTGAACTTTAAATGTGAGACCCACCTTTCCTCCATATATCACAGAATTAGGGTGCACAACATTCCCCACAGACTTGGACATTTTCTTTCCATCTTCATCAGTGACAAATCCATGGACTAACAGTTTCCTAAACGATAATGGCTGAATGAATTTTTCAATAAATCTTAATTAAAACAAACAGTTCGGCATCTATGCAGCAAACCTCAACAAAACATAATATTATGCAAAATGAAGAAACAGATAAATAATTTTTTAAAAACATACACTTTTTAAAATTGTATGATTATGGTTATTTATAAAACTCAACCTCCATTTAATAAAAAGTAAAACTGAATTAAAACAAAAATTCAGACAGGAAGTAAGGAATCAAACACATTTTGGATGACAACAGCAATGGTAACAGATGTAGTAACAATAAGGGAAATGCATTAGTAAATATACAGACACTTTCAGTGCTTGTGCACAAACTGCCATGAATCATCTGTGCATTCAATATAATTCAATATAATTATATTAATAAAAATTATTTAAATGAATCGTCAATAATTTTTGAAATACTTCATATAAGAAAATCAATAATCTAAAAAAAAAAAATTTACAAATCAACATGAAATACTGTCTCTTACCTGTATGGGGATATGTTGTTAACTGCTGTACTTGTTAGCAAAGAGGACTGAAACCATCCACCAAATTGATCATAACCCTCAGCATAAAGATCTGCTTGATAATTGTGGTCTGTAAAGTCATTTTTTAATTAACAAAAGTTTGGACTATAAAATGATATTCTAATCATTAATGTGAAAGCTATTGTCACAAATGCCAAACCTTTATTATGCTCAAATGAACATAGGAGTTTTTGTCAAACATTGAAATTTTACTTTGGCTTCAGAAAAAACGTTTTCTACTCAATCACTATCTATAACAAGTTATTTATCTAAAACAAAGCATGAACAAGGCTGACATAAAAATCATATTGATTCAAACTGAGAACACAGTTAATCAAGCGGACAGGCACATACTAATTGGAGCACCTGCTAATATGACCTAATGACATTAATTCTACTGACTGACTCTTACCTTTCAGTACAGTAGCCCAGGAGGTGCCACTGTCAAACCAGATATCCAAGATGTCCTCTCCCTTTACATACACTGCATTAGGATCAAAACCACTCTGATAAATAATAAAACACATTCAAATCACACTGATGTTATTTTCAATATAATTTCACTTGGCATCAAGATATCAAGGATGGTACATGTGTAACATAAATTTAAAGAAATATTCAGAGAAACAGATTCAATGACATGTAGGCAAGATTGATGGTGAACGGGTTTTTAACAGGTCATGAGTGAACTTATTAGAGAGCTTTAGAGTCACTTGTTAACCAAGACTAAATAAAATATTACCTTTTCAAGAACATCTTTTGGGAATAACTGTTCAAAGGGAAGCCTCCACCAGCAGTCTGAGCCATGCTGTCTAACTAGATGGATGATATGTTCTATTGAAGCACTGGAAAATGTATAATGGTCAAAGTAATTTTTCTCCAAGAAAATATTTTAAGAGTTCTATCAGATGGTGGAAATCAAATGGTGGAAGGGAGATCTGTGTGTGTGTGTGTGTGTGTGTGTGTGTGAGAGAGAGAGAGAGAGAGAGAGAGAGAGAGAGAGAGAGAGGGGAACACGGGGATCTTTTCTACGAATAATGAATTTAAGGTTTCAACTAACTCTTTCACAACTGAATGCCATTACATACTAAGATCAGAATGAAATTTTATGAAATAAGACAATTTTCCCAAAATTTCAAAAATTAAACTTCCTACCTAGAAATAACAGTCTGTTTTGTCTCCACGTGATAGCACACTGGGATAGGTACGCCCCATGCCCTCTGTCTGGAGATACACCAATAGGGTCGGCCTCTTAGGAGACCTGACATGTCCTGCTTGTACCGTGGAGGGGACATTTCTATGTCCTCTAGCAGGGACTGAAGAGACAAACAGAATGATAGAATTACAAAAGGAAGTTCTGTTCTTTGCTCCATAATATAATGCTTTGTACACGCAAATATGTGATTCCCTGAGTTAAAGTATGCCTTTCTCTTCACATTAAACCAGGATTTGTCATTCTATACATACATATTTTCCAGCATTTATTCAAGAGTGATCTCTTGTTAATGGCATATTTTAATAAAAACAACAAATGTCTCCATATTGGGTGCTTAAACAGTTGCAAGCCTGAACAATACTTAGTGTAAGCAATGACAAGCTTCAAATTCAGTAAACAAATGAAAAACAGCACAAGTTTTGAAAATAAAAATCAGTACATACCAGAGCTCTTTCCTTGATCTTTTCTGTGGCTATGAACCACTGTCTGCTAGCTCTGATGATCACTGGCTGGTCAGTTCTCCAGTCGTACGGGTAACTGTGTTCAAATAGTTCTTGATGCAGAACATTACTTCCCAGCAAGTGAAGAACTATTAGAGAGAAGAAGCACTTAAAAACTGTAGCATGAATGCTGTATGTCATATTGCAGGTAAGTATTAAAGTAAAATGTATATCATTTTAACATGCTACAGCACATGGGTAACTGTGTTCAAATAGCTCTTGATGCAGAACATTACTTCCCAGCAAGTCAAGAACTATTAGAGACAAGAAAAAGTATTAAGTGACACTTTAAAACTAAGGCATGAATGCTGTATGTCATATTACTAAAATAAAATGCATATCATTTTAACATGCTACTGCACATCATCAAATACCATCTCGGCTGATTAGAGGAAGAAACAAATCATTTAAAGATTGATAAACAACAGTCTGTATATGTGGGCAACAGCTTGGGGCAACTGAAAAGAGCAATGATAGAATTTTGTGAAGTGTCAATTTCTGTCCACTCGTATCATAGACTGGGTTCCCATGCCTAGATCGATCCACCTGGATCGGTCTAACTCCCTGGGGAGTCTCACTAAATTGCTATCAACTTAACCGGCTTGATTGTCTGTCACACCTACTGAATCACCTAGGGTGTAAAGATAATAACCCCCTAACAGCTTTACTAGGCGTGAGAGACATTAATGCCGGTTAAATTGATAGCAATTTAGTGAGACTCCCCAAGGAGATAGATCAATCCAAATATCCGTGGGAATGGTCCCATAGAGTTACCTTTATTGTTGCCATCTGCCAACACATTCTTGCCATGCAGCTCTTCTCCTGCTTCCACAGTAAAACACCCATCTTCATCCACAAGACTTTCCTGAAAGGCAATTAAACAAGGTATTGTTACAATTAATCCAAGTCCTAACAAAGACATGGCCGGGCTAGGACAAGATTTTACAAGAGATGTAATTTTGAGACTGTACTAATGTTCCTGCAAAAAATCATCAGAGATATCTATAAAACCATCAGACTTTCAATTGGAATTTTTTTTGGGGGGGGGTCCAAAAAAAAAAAAAAAAGTACAAAAATTGTACCCATCTGAGTTAAGGAGGGATTGACTGAACATCACCCAACCCCTGCCTGTGTGTACATTATATTATATTTTAGATCATGAAATGATTAAACTTCTAGCAGGGTTTAATTACAAGAAAATCAATGAGATATGAGCAAAATATATAAAAAGATTTCAGCTTATTTTCTGAAGGCATATATATGAGATACTAATTTTAACCTATTCTAAAAATAATACATCAATTTACTTATCACATTTCACAAATATATCAAATCTTCACATGAAAGCTTGTCAGACTTTTCTTAGTTTCCATGGCTGTCCTCAGACCTTAAAATTTCAAAAAAAAAAAAAAAAAAGGTTTCTTCTTACATAACTTATAAATTCCTGAAACAAGACAACGCTAAACACCAGAATCCAAAAGAAAGTTCAGGCTATGGTAATTTAGTATGATTTAATTGACACTTTCCTTCCAATCAATTTGTAAACTTGATAAAACGCAGTTTTACACAGCTGGTGATGAAATGCCAAGTTTTCTAGGACTTGTAGGGCCCTCCCACATAATGAAATGAAAATGAACATGGTCAAAAGTATATCAAGTTAAATAGCCACTGAGCAAGTCACATCTGTAAGGTGATGTAAGAAAGGGTAAGCTAAACATAATATGTTCATGTAATCTTATTAATTTAAAACCAATGGCACAGTTCCTGCACCAAATTGTCTGCTTTCACAATACATTCCATTACGTATTGTTATTAACTAACTCCAGTGTTATATTGTTTCCATAGAGACCAGTAATTGCATGTCAACAGTTATTTGTTTATTTTACAAATAGAGCTGACCATGTCTTGGAACTCCATAAAATCAACACATATACCACATCAAAGAACAGCTCACCACATCTCTCTATAGGTAGAACACCACATCTCTCTATAGGTAGATCCTGTGGTTACAGAAATACCATACATTGTTGACAAATTGTAGCAAGGTTTTGTCTGATATCTTATTGATATACAGACCAATAAGCTGGCTCAATTTGACACAAGAAGTAAAAGCCCCCCCTCCCCTTCCATTCACACAACAACATATGCCTACAAAACAAGACTTAATCTTTTCCTTGACACCCCCCCCCCCTCCCCTGTTTAGTTGAAACAAAAAAGTCAGTGTTATCTTCAGTCAGGTATAGATAATGATGTTTTTGACATTCAAAATCTAGTAATTAAGACAGAGAAATTCCATAAATCACTCACACCACCTTCAAGAATACAAGCCTAATGTCCGTCAAATTTCAAGAACAAATACCAAACTGCTTGAAGCAAATTAAGTCACTGTAATCCAGATTGCGGCAACTTATTATAATTGAGACATATAGTTCAAAGAACCTGACTAGCACCAATATTAAGCTGTTATTTGAGATAATTTGCATTGTTACTGTTACACTTTCATTTTAAACTGCAGCTTTTGGACATATTAATATGAAATACCTCCACTCATTCATAAGCTGCTTAATTCATCAGCGTATAAACAAAATTGAAAGCCTCAACCCTACACAAACGTAAAGGAATAATAGCCAGTAGAGCACAGCACAAAAGATGGCCACTGTGAATAACAGGACCCGACAATGGTCCTACACAGTAATACGCTTTCTCTGTTACAAAATCAATTCATAGTCCAAATTATAAATAAATAAAGTGTTGAGCAAACAGAAATGAACAGAACATGAGTGTGCTAGGGCACTGCCATCGACTTTACAAAAGAATGTGAGCCAGATTTATTAGTCATTTTATTCGCTCTCCTAAGCTCTGGACGGGGCAGATTATAGATATATGGTAAGTAAATTACTTTTTAGTCCATGTTATTCACCTAACAAGGTGTCATTTCACAAATAATTTATTAGACTAATTTTGATACAAAACAAAAATGATAGACGACTAAAAATAAACCATCCCTTGCTTGCAGATTCCAAAATAGTTTTGCTGTTCTTAATGAAAAAATTAATGAAAGAATCATGCAACTAGTTCCATCAATTTTGAGAAAAAAGTGATTAAGGACTGCATAAAACTGGAGATGAATTTTTGGACATTTTGTCATCATTGCAAACAAACCTTATCATGCTTTTAATACACTATAGTGTACATTATGTCATTCAAACAGTGCCTAATCTAGTGTGGTTATGTCCACTGTAGCAGTACATTAACTTAGAAACTAGGTTATCAGCAAAGGAGTAAATACTGAACTGCTCTTGTTAGTACTTAATTTGGACATCAATGGTCACTCTGATGACAAATCAATACAAATGTGATTCACTTCATTGGCTGCTGCCCACCAGTGACTTTTATTACCGAGTATAAAAATGAGATGTATTAGTCAGCTTAAAGCTCTAGCTCACTTTGACAGACATGTAACATTACCATACGTGCTATCTTTTTGTTTCAGTGAAAATGGTTCTCTTTCTCAAAGTACTTGGTAACATTGGGAACTCAGTGAAGAAAGGCGATGGCGACTTTTTTCTTCGCCTGAACTACTTCCATACCCCAATCGTCCTTGTTGCTGTGACGGTGATTTCGTTTCTGGTTTTTGTCTTCGCTCCAATGTTCGGATCTCCAGCTGTGAACTGCTGGACCCCAGGACGCTATCGCCCAGCTCACGAGGAGTACACAAAATTTGTGTGTTCACTTTACGGACCTGGCTACAAGTACACACTGGAACTGAACAAGTACCAACAAGGAATTGGGGTTCCACCACCAAAGCCTCTGGATCAGAAATATCAACAGAGACCAGACTACAGAGTTTCAGTGATACTCCTGTTGTTTCAAGCCATCTTATTCATCATTCCAATCTTTATCTGGAAGGCTGCTGTTTGCAATACAGGAATAACTGTTCCAGATTTGACAAATGAGGAAAGTGAAAAGCCAAAAGAGAAGTTTATCGAACAATTTGACAAATACTCCAACAGCTCTGATGAGGAGAGAGAAAATCTCAAAAGATGTAGTTCTAGCTTTTGCTTTGGTGTCAATCGCTTCTTTGGATGTTTTCTTATCTCAGTCTTCATTGCACTAAAGTGCTGGTACATTGGTAATATCTTTTTACAACTCGCATTCATATTTGGTCCTCAGGCAAACTATGCAACCTCAATAAGTGATATATTCAATTTCAGTGACACACAAACATCTTTTGTGGTAGAATATTTCTGCGACTTTAGAATCATGGAGAATAACGTTGCCATTCACAAGCACACAGTGCAGTGCATTGCCAGTACGTTTGCTATCCAGCTCACACAAGGCTTGTACACTGCTCTGGTCATGTGGTTAGTGGTTCTGTTTTTTGCCAACTGCTACAGCTTCCTCTCTTGGGTGTTCTATCTCTGGCGCATATATACGCCCATCAAACAAAGTCTTATGTATGCAAATGAAAATGAACACCTCATGCAGGAATTCATAGATAACTACCTCAAAAAAGACGGAGTGTTGCTCCTAGGGATGATAGACAGAAATACAGCTGCAAATAATGGGCAAGCAACTGGAATTTTGGAGGGTTTGTGGAAGCAGTATCTTAAAAAGAGACATTTTATTAGAGCCACTGCACCTGATCCTAGTGAAATGGATCCTCTAAGACCCTAGACACAAAGAGTATTAGATCATTATACAGTGATACTGACAAAATATCATTAACCTGGAAATTTCAATGTTATTTTTTCTTACTCCAACACCATGTCTAAAACTGTTCACAGAATTACATTCTAGCAAGCTGATTGTGAGCAGGGTTTTTTTTTTTTTTCTAACTTAAAAGTAATTTAATCACTGTCATAATGAAGAAAGAGACAGGTGAATTTCACAAGTTTTTAGATAATCATTTTTAATGGTTTTGGATAGGGCATACCTTAATGAGGAAAGAAATATTGCTGAAATTTCTATGAATTTGTTATAAAGGTCTAACATGCATTGTACTTATCCCCTTAAAAACAGGTAGAGATCTATATTCTCTGCTACAACTGTGCCTCATCAGTAAAGATGTCTGATTGGCTGGAGCATTCTTTAAATTCAGAAAATTTTACTATTTATTTTAGATGATATTAACAGTGGATGTGAATAGAAGTATATGTAGTCATACCACTTGTTGACAAAAGGTTGAAGCAGAGAGAAAGCACTGACTGGTTCAGTAGTACACTATTCACTGTAAATAAATAACTATAATCTGTCAATGGGCAATGTGATCTGGACTGTCATGCCAATCATATTTCAGTTCAAGGAGCCAGTGTAAATATTTGCCAAACACTGTAGCTTGATATGAATGCTAAGATAAGAATAAGTAAAATTTCTTTTTTGTTTTATATTTTGACCAATAATCAAGTTTTTTTAAATAAGATTCTGCATTGCTTGGAAAGCATCTAATTAAATGTAAGTTATGAAAAGAAAAGAAAAATAAAATAATTATTTAAAATGTTAGGGACTTCATTACATTTAGGTTATATTTGATGGCATGAGGACAGAGTCATTTAGACAATAAGGTTGACAGCTGTAGAAAAATGTCAATATTCTTCAACACTGCACAGGCTTCCTACTGTAGCATATTTACACAACTGTGATTGCTATTAAATAACTCATTAACCATTTGTTGTCCTTGTAAAATGCATTTTTGTACAGACAATAAACTTATTGATGTCTACTTCTTAGACTCGGGTACCATTTAATTTGGGGCAATATAATTGTTGTCCTGCCTTCATACATAAATAATGTTATTTAAGATGGGTTTCTTTCCTCAAATATTTGCTGAGGTGTACTCAACAATAACATAACATCACCCATTGTGACTTTTACACAATGTTAAACAAAAAATATACGGTAAAGGTTCAATCTTTTCAGTGGGCAAAACTTATTTTTATCTTTTAGATAAAAATTTTTGGAATAATCAAAATGACATTTCTATATAGCATTTATTGTGCATTCATGCATAAAAAGAACTATTGGGTAGCCTGCTTTTAAACTGTTTTGCTACCACTTAATAGGAATGTTTTTATTATAGGAATTTTTGGCTTGAAATAATACAATGTCAGATTCTGAAAAATTTAACAATTTTCCACAGAATCCACACTGAAAAGATCAAACCATTACCATACAATTTTATATTAATAGAGGATTTTAAAATTAGCCTGAAAACAAAAAAGACAGCCAAAGATGTTAAATCAATATCAACTTATTCTACAATTTGCTTATTTGTTGTCTGTGTTTATTCTTATTTGTCACATTTTGCCACTGACATTTCTTTTCCTTTTCTTTATTGCACACGGAATTTTATTTAGTCACACATAAAAAAAAAAAAAAGCTAGCTTAGTTGACAAATGTGCAAAAATATCTTTAACAATATATCCCTGTATTGATACTGCATATCAATATATTGCTATACACTTAAATGAAATTACTGTGCCTGCCTTACAAGTAAGTAAGGATTAGTTAAAACATAATGGGAGTAATTTGGTTACTTTATCACAGTAAACCATGAAATATTTACTACACTAGCTGATCAATTACAACCCTTTTGTGACACTGGGCACACAGACATGCTGAAACTGTTGGTCCGTCGGTCATGACTGGGAAATTTGTCTGGACCAGTAGCAAATTGGACATGGTTGGTCCAAAGGACCGATGAGAGTTTTAAGAACTGCAATTTTGAATTTACAGTCATCATTGGACATACTTCACTAATAAAATTATATAAAACTCAAAACGTTTTTTTTTCCTTTCATTACAAACCTATCACATTCACAAACAAAGTAAGCTACCTAATCGTACTGGTAGTATCTGTCTCAAATGAATAGGGCGACTTTCGGTCTGACAAAAATCCATTCGGTCTGGCAAATTTTTCATTACTGACGGTCCAAATATCCAGACATTCCGAAAAGTTTTCAGCATGTACGGGCACAACGGGGCCATCCATTTTAATTCTCATCATTTTCACAAATATACAAAGAACACACTTTTTCCAAACCCCCTCCCCCTTTCAGAGAGTACAAGGTGAAAAGTTTAAAATGATGATCTTTGACAGCAGTTTGGACTGTCGTTTTTACTCCTTTTCAAAAGTATACAATGGGCTTGGTTTGTAGACATGAAAATGATAAATTAAATAAATTTAAAATGGAAGACCTTTCGCTGTTCTAGTAAACAGGCTTAAGCTTTAAACTGAAAGAAAAAAAGAATTCAAAGAAAAAACAACTTACAGCTCCAATATGGTACTCTTTGCACACACAAAAGTCGTCATGGCCATGTGCTGGGGCTGTGTGAACCAGACCAGTACCCTTCCCCCCTGCCACATGGGGTCCTGGCAGGAAGGGGCGGTGGGCAGTATCAGGCCATACTGGGTGTATATAGGTAGTACCATCCAGAAGGTCACCTAATGTTATGAAATAAATGAGCCAATCATCTGATAGGGTGATACCAAGAATTATCCTAATAGACAACTATATGAGAAGAAATAATTAATATGCAAATTCTCAACATTTTAAAATTCCTGCTGTGTGGTCATAAATATTTTAACATAATTATTAAAATATGTCATCCTTTGGAGTGTATTATTAACTTACAATGTTACAGACAAATATAAATTGTCAATTTACCCTGAAATTCAGCAAGCACTGTAAACTGCGTGTTGAGGAGTTGTCTCATGTGGTCTATCACATTAGTGCCCAGGATGTATACCCGTCCAGTTGTCTCACATCTTACTACACCATAGCTGGAAGTGAAGTCAAGATTATGATGTTGGTTTATAGCAAAGAATATCATCTACTAAACAGACAAATTTCCATCAGAACATTCCAAATCAAATTCAATTGTTTGACTTAACAATCAATTACATACCACCATTTTTAGGTGTAGTTTGAGATTTTATCAGCATTGGTTTGATTGTGTTAGAGAAGACACTGTGCACAATAGATTGCAATTATCACAAACAATTAAAAAACCTTTGAAAAAATTCAAATTTTCAAACTCAACATCCTTTTCACCAAAGAAATCCCCCTGGGAAGTATATAAAGTCAAACAAATTTATGGTTTGGGAGTTATGGGGTGAAAGACCTAAATTACATGAAAATAATTCCTTTTAAAAAACCTCGTAAATTTGATGTAAAACAAGCATACAGTTTGGAAGTCAAGAGGATGGACAATTGTCTTAAACAGCAACAACGAAGATGACTGATGACACAGTCATTAGAAGACTTATGCTACAAAGGCTAAAATCCAATGTGCCTAAAAATCAAGATCAAAACTTCCATGAACTATGGGGAAGTCACATAACAAATCCTAATCAAATGCATAGCATGGCACTGCCATTTAGTGAAAAGGTTGGAAATATGGCATGGGGGCCAGTGTGCTGCCTAGGCCAATGATATTTTTGGCTCCCAAAAGTGGGAACTTTGCTGCTAGTTGGAAAAATCTCATCCTTGAGTTAAGAACCTCCATATGTCAGGCATTATCAACACTGATTGCAACAAGGCTGTACTTACTTGAGCTGTGGACTGTAGCAGATTGCGGCATTGCCAGGGAGAGTCCATGGTGTCGTGGTCCATATGACAGCAAACAAGTTATCAGGACAGCTGCCTTCAAGATTGAATGAAAAGATGAAGAATGGACTCCATTCAAGTTCTTTGGCTTAATTGCAATTAGGTTAAAATGTAAATCAAGTTGAGAGATATGAAGTCTGTGGGAAATGAACCAACCAACAAACCAATCCCCCCCTCGTTAACACTTGAGGTGTTCTGGCATATACCTCTCAGGTAACAGTATTATTTCAAACATAATGTATGAGCATTTAAGGACATGACATCTGAAATTCAGAATAAATGAATATCATCATACCTAAAAGTGTGGTAAGAGCAGTGGAGGTGTGTGCTACTTTAACCTGCAAGTATATTGCAGTACTCTTGTGATCTGAGTGGTACTCCAGCTCTGCTTCAGCCAAGGCAGTTCTGAAATTGAAGAGATACTTATTATATTGATAGTTTCAAGTTTTTACTTGCAATGACAGATACTTAACTAGAGGAACAGAGAGGTGATATTACCTTCTGAATGTGTATTATCAGATGGTTTAAGCATATCAAAGGGATAATGGCACATTATTAAAGCTAAAGAGTTGTTATGAAATGATCTCAATTTACACACATACTGACTAAAACAACTGTGGAAATTTATCTTTAGTCCACAACCAGCAAACAGTGCAGTGTATAGCTATTTTTTCTGGTTAATTGTGTATGAACTGACATGCTCAAACCAGTGATAAGATGTACTTGGAACTTTTCAACCATGTACAAAAATTTGGTCAAAAGTTTACTTGTTAAATCAAGGCTTTGCAAACACGACAAAATTTTACTTTGGCTAGTACAATAAAACGTACATTACCATCTTCATGAAAACATACTACTGATATGGTTAAAAAATTTACTAACAAAAACAAAAATAAAGCCAATATTATAGAGCCAAGAACACATGTCTCTATGTCAGGAATTGAGAGCAGTTACTCTACCTTGAAGAAGGGGACCAATAGACAGGCATGAAGTCATCGTAAATGTACCCCTGGAAAATTTGAGAAAAACAACAGAGAGTGAAACATCTATTTCTCAGATTGTAAGAATACACCAGATAATGGTGTGTTACCTAACAATATCATCAATGTTTGGTGCCCAATACAGTAATTTTCAGAAAATGAGTGAGTAAAATATAAATTCTAAAGCTGTAAATTTTTCTGGGCAGTCTACCTTTTTAAACATGTCATAAAATGCTGTCAACTGGTTGGCTTCATAGTCTTTATCAAAGGTAAAGTAGCGCCCTTTAGACCAATCTGCCATTATTCCCCACTGCTCAAATGATGCTGTCTGAACCTTGATAGCTTTTTCTGCAAACTTCCTGGCTGAAAATTAAATCTTCCATATTTAATTTAAATTATACAAACACAATTGAATCCTACCCTATGAAAAATATTGTCAGATATCATTAAACCATTATTTAAAAGCACTTCACTATAAAATGAAAGAGAAGTGCATATTTGAAAGCACAATGAATTGAGACCAGATGGAAAACTTCTGAATCGTGTATATGTGATGCCATCAGTTTGGAAATAGTAACCCCTAGCTAACAACATATTAGCTTACGAAATATCAGAGTAGAAAATTGACAAATATATTAAAAGTGATTGTACGTGCAATGTACAGACTATGCTGAGAGTCCTGGGTACCTACCTCTCTTCCTAATATCCTGGGGAGAAACTGTTTTAAAATCTGCTGCATCTTTTCCCAGTGCCTTCAACTCTATAGGCAACCCATGGCAGTCCCAACCAGGCACATAGTGCACCTTGTACCCCCTGAGAATTTTGTACCTGTTGACTACATCTTTCAGGATCTGCAATAATTTCACCAACATGGATTAAAGGGGTATCTATAGGTCTTCTTAAACTACCTCAACAGACAACTAAATGGACACAACTAGTCCATTTTCAACAAAAAAAAATTATCTACTGGAACTTCAAATACTCTTTTAGTTTGATGAGGAATTAAATTTTTTCCAATTACATTTTTCCATATTATTGACTGAAAGTCTGCATATGTGTAGTTTTAAACAGTAAAAGGATTTCAAATATTTCCAATTACCTTGTTTACTGCATGCCCAACGTGGGGATCTCCATTAGCATAAGGCGGTCCATCGTGCAAGATGAAATCATCAGGTCTGTCTTGCTGTTTCTGCTGCCAGGAGTAAAGTTCATCAAATCCACATGACTAGAAAATAGAGGAAAAATCATCTTTCTGCTTTTTCCATAATCCACAATTTTAGAAGGAAAACTTATTGAAAGTGATTTCTTCTATGCATGCTACTCAATTAAATATAACAAGTATAGTTGGACAATTGGCAGATTTGTATAACCTCCAGTACAGAAGTTTGGTTAAATGACTCAACAAAAATCATTTAAAAAATGACAACCACTGAACAAAAAAAGCAAATAATCATAATATAGTAAGCTGTGCTTTCCTCACCACATTTGCATGTACTATACTAGCTTTGCAGAAATAAGCATTTGTATGTGCATGCAATTTTGTGATTTGAATAAGCCTTAGGAGCAAGCCCCATGTACAAGGGTTTGAGGGTAGTACAAGGGGGGGGGACGTTCATTTATGTTTATTCATTTAGATCCATTTACACATTTGCTCAGAATCTAAACAGTTCCATTGCTTGTACCAATACTAGGACTTATAAGCAGCAATTTAAGAAAAAGAAGTACAAGTAAGGGATAATTAATTATCGTCTAGCAGCTTCAGTAGGAGTGTCAGACACCCAAGCCACTTAAGCTGAAAGCAATTTAGCGAGAAACCCCTCGGAGATGGATCGATCCTGTTACCATTAGATCGATCTAAGTATGGGAACTTGATCAGTCCTAATAGGCTATACACCCATCGTTCCTACACCCAACAGAATTAATGAAAAGAAAATGTGTAAATGTGAGACTCTTCTTCACTTCAATTATCAACCTTAAATGTATGAGCTTTGTCTCAAAATGAATGCAGCTAAATCCTAACCTTCTGAACTTTGAGTTCTGTGGCTGGTAGATTTTTAAGACGTTTTCCTGTGTGAAGCAGCGGTTCAAGCTCTCGAGGAAACTTGGGGTGATTTAGACTGTCTGTGTATGGCTTGTTACTACTAGAATTACTGGCTTTATCTGCAAAGGATCTTAACTTCAAACGTCTAAGATACAATGCTGGTTTTGTATACACGGTCTTCCACATCACGTGTAGCCTTCAGATTTTGTTAGTCTGCTTTGCACGTCCTCAGACATGTTTCAATGGACTAGCGCCATCTTGACAAGAGGAGCTTAAGGTCGACTTCATCATAAAACTACTTTTAATGTCTATCCAATCACGATAAGAAATCACAAAAACACGATAGGGGAATAATAAAAAGCTGAATGTCAGATGGATATATTGGTATTAGCTGCGATGAGGAGTGGAGAGGGGACCTCTGGTGGCCTTTCTCTTTAAACATACGCGCGAGACCTCTGGCGGCGGTCTACCAATAACCTTTCACTCAATATGCTTGGACTACGTACAATACAATACAATACAATAAATTTTATTTCATGTCGGTTACAAATTGAATGGAAACATTAGCTTTACAGCTATTCTCCGACTGTATAAGGACAAATGTGTACGTGTACTTTATGAGTTATAATATATATATTAATCCAATTAAAATACAAACACCAAAGCTTCCAAAATGGCACATAAATAAGTAAAAAAAAACTGAAACAGTGTCATTAAAACAATCTGCAAATCGTTAAAAGCAATTTAATGAAGAAAGAGCAAAATGTTTTTATCAATGTACATGCTATTTTCAGATACTTACAATTTCGGCATATTAAAAACTCCACTGATAATTATTGTTGTACAAAATATTTTATTCAAAATGAAATTTCAATCATACATGTAGATAATCATAGGGAAAAAAATTAAAACTGCTATTTCACCCTCAAAAAAAAAAAAAAAAAAAAAAATCTAATTACATGGTTTACAACACAAAATTAATGTCACTGTTACTGGAGATTTAAAGACTCCTTACAGGTTTTACCTACCAAAATGAATCTTCTGCTTTTCATTCAATGCTAAGTTCTACATGACTACTGACCAGCCAATTAAGATCCCATGTCTTCTTTTACAGTTCAGAAAAAAATACATATATTGACATCAGGTTATTTTATAGGAGGGGTTATTTAGTTTTGTAGGCCTTAATTGGGAAAGATATGTAGCTTTGCCAGATATGAAGCAAGTAGTCACAATATATATATATATATATATATATATATATATATATATATTCAAACGTGTACAGTTTACCTTTTATATTTGCTTCTTAAAATTATACTATAGCACTAGACTAAGTATTTGTTGTCACTTGGACATCTGATTTCATTGATAAGTAGTTAAAAACAAGATATTTCAAAATCTGTTAAAATTTACCAAAAAGTCTGACATCTTCCCTCTCAAAACAAATGTCTAATGATATGATTCAAATTAATTTCAATGTAACTGGGATTTTAATATTTGCTTCTTAAAATAATACAACAATACTGGAATTTGTTGTCACTTGGATATCTTTGTTAATATTGAATATGACAAGGATCTACACAAGTTCCACAACCTTAACTTTCTGGGATTTGTAAAATTATTACACTAACATGGCATCTAAATATGACTAAATTTTAGTCCAATTTAAATGACAAACCAACCCCAAGCTGTACATACACATAAATATAACTTCAGTTTCCATTTACTCAATTCTTCAGTATGTATGATTATAGTCTTTTATTGAAATTTAGTAGAAATCAAAAACCTGGACCTTCACCTGTAATTGTTTATATGAACATGAGAGAAAAACACCCTCTGATATGCCAAGGAAATATTACAAATGAAAATAATTATTCTTTGGTAGTTAAAAATAAATTCATATGTCAAAATATGTTAATAAATAACTTAATAATATCAGGTACTTTATTCAAAAGCCAATTCATTGCATATTTAATAGCACTACACCTGCAACTCCAAATAGCCTCCAAAACATTATAGAAAAGTCAAACTCCTGAGTTCCAGCTTCAACACAAGCAGGTATGTCCAAGAAAGTTACTGAGCACCCATAGCCCGTTGTCTGCACAAGTCAAGAGTAAGAACTGGGTCCACATAAACTGTCATGTAGAACCAAATGTTTATTATAAAACCTGGTATCAGAGGCCACAAGAAGTAGGGCACCAACATTCCAATGACTTGGCCAAGGATGAACTGGATACTGAAAACAGTGAATTTGATAATGATTATAGTTGTGCTCATTAAAAAGAAAAATATCATCTTTGAATTTTTTCATGTGAAATGGTAAGTATATTCCCCATAGAGTGTTGTGCTATTTTGTATTCAAATATGTCTGAAATTTACAATATCTAAACACCCATATTTATGGCTTAATATACATAACTGAAATTAAGGCAGTTTAATAAAGTATGTGCAGACTAAAAGATACCAAATAATGTGTCAGTGTCACACATCATAAAGATTGCACTTGTATGTTAAAAGAACTATAAAGGATAAAAAACTGTAAAGTTTATTGGACATCTCACCTTAACTTTGGCTCTGACCAGAATTTTTTTACAGCTAAGGCTTCCTGCACTGTGCAGCTGATGCAGCTGATAAGGACAAGGTTTGAAGTCCACCAGTGCACACTCATCCAGTCCCAGGTAAATACAGCTATTAACCAGTAAGGACAAAGAATCAGCTGAGGTAAAAATCTACACCACTGTCCTAATGTAGGAGGAGGAGCCTGAAATTGAGAAGAAATGTACTAGTACTATGAATTATGCCAACTCCCACAGTGAGGCTCTACAAATTTCTTCTTTAAAATGCACATTTCAGACTTACAAAAAATAAACTTTTAAAACATATGGGTCGTTTCATTATTTCAGCAACATAAAAGGGATAACTGTACAGTTACTGCCATTTTGTCCAATAAACAAAATTTCCTGGGGTAAGCAATGATTTTTCCTTACTTACTAATGGTTAATGAATCCATTCCGGCATTCAAAGTGAGTCCACGTTTTATTCTAAAAAGTTTGTTTTTTTGCAATACCTTCTTAAAAGATCATGTCATACAAAACTGCTGTTATCCCTTTAAGGCCGGTGATAGGGTTAACTACGCTTAAAATCATGTTTTTGAGTTTTTTGTGTGTTTCTATTAATCAAAAAAGAATCTAACGTTGGATGTAATAATTTTTTTGAATTTGCACCGCAAAATGTGTCTGATGAGTTTTTCAACCGGCACGCGCCCCAGTCAGGCTGACAACTCTGTTGCTAAGGGCTGTTGCCATGAGGGGGGCGGAGCATAGTTAATGAGTTATAAGCCGATTACGTGTGCGGTGATAGGTCATAAGTCTTACATCAGCTAAGCAGTGAAGTCGAGTACGCCATGGGGAAGAGAAAAGTTCGTGTTAAAAGTCCATTTCCAGAGGAAAGAAAGAAAATTTTGAGAGTATGTGGGCAGTTGGAGGAAAACCGGTATTTGTCCAGTCGGATGACGAGAGAGAGAATCTACATGGAGTGAGCGCTCGTAAGATTATGAAGGACTTTGAACAGCCCTCGGAGTCTTCTGACAGTGATTGTGATGAAGAAACAGTAGCTCTTGGGTACAGGCTTTGGCACAGTGGACAGTTGTTAGAAAGTGCCTACAAGTCGTGTGTTTGTCGTGTGTGTATGGCGGCGACGTTGTGTTGGTCGATAGACAGTTACAGCCATTGGCGCATGTACAGCTCAAATAAAAGAATCATGAAATGTTTAATATTATTCGTCTTTCTTTTTTCTTTATGTATACCTAATAAATGGGTGAAAGAGTAAATCGAATTGTCTAAATTAATTGAGAAATGTATTTGTACGAAAAATTTATTACTAAAAGAAAAAAAAAGCTAGAAACGATACTTTTAGCCCAGCTCTTAATTTTGGCGATATATATCGGCGAGCGTATCTGCGACACGTTACGAATCTGGAAATGATTGTTGGACGCCGTTTGTCGAAGGTGAAAACTAATGTTGACAAAATATAATTTTTTCTCCAATAAATGAAATCAAGGAGCTTTAGAGACACGCAAAAAATTGATGTAAATGGCCAAACGAGAGAAATCCAAGCATGGGTTGACAGCATGATTAAAAAAAATAACAATGAAAATAAAAACGCATGTTAACTTGCATTTTGCGATGTTTGGAGAAAGACAATGTCAAAATCACAGATCAAGCGGGAAGAAAGAGTTCAAAATGTACCCAAAATAAAAATCACAAAAAAGACTTCTTGAAAAAATTAATACCCCCCCCCCCTCGAGTTCACAGTTACCAGGATAATCAGTTTAGAACTACTACTGTCACCCAGTTTTATCTGATCACTTTGCCGATAACAGAAAAGGAATCTCTCAGGTAAAATTATTCGATTGCCGAGGGAGACCCATTGAAACGTTCAAATGCAACTTCACACCTCTTAATTGTGGTTAAATGTAATCGCCTTTGTTAGCGCTTCCTGCTACATATCCTTGACACCCTACTGGGCATCACTAAGCTAGGGCCCTCTCCAGAGCTGTCAATCAAAACGGCGGCACGCTTACAAGCCTAACGAGTGGTAGGAAAATGTAACAAAAACACGATTTTCTGCCCTTTCAAACCACCCTAACAAAATATTTTTAGATGACAATGAGCAATGGTTCCATCTGATCGTATAACCGATGACAGGTGAATTTGCCAGCTAAGCATTTGACTAATAAGCTCTGTTAACCAACCTGTGAACGTTTTTGGCTGTTTTAACAGCTTTCTATATTGACGAGATAAGTGAATCGCTGCCAAGTATATCTCACTATCTGAGCAACCGATCGTTACAAAAGTTGCACCTATTGTTGTTGGGAATGTGGACTACAGCATGATATCAGGGGTTTAAGAGGAAATTGTTTGTTTGAAAGTTATCGTCTTTTGAAGTGAATAACCCATTGAAATATGGGGTAATTTAACGTAAAAGATGATAAAATCAAAAGTAAATAGTTTAAGACAATTCCCTGGTACCGCGCTGAAGTGCTTTCACCCAGCTTTATGAGGCCTTTTGAATCACTTGAACAGCTGTCTTGGTTAAAGAGAAAATCCCAATTCCGAAAACGGCATTTTCCCCCTAAAATTGGCGCTATAGCGTCATCCGTTGGACACTGTACTTAATCCCCGTCTTTAATTGGCCTTTTGGGAAGTTTGTTTTAATTTTTTATAAAAACTTATAAGCCCAGGGCTTTGTTTCTATGACTTTGGTCCTTTTACTATTAGTCCCCTTAAGTAAGTCACTTTTCACTAGCATGCTTGCACCTACCCTATTAGCCATCAGCATTTCATCTGAGACATTAGCCACAGGAGCAACTTTATGTATAAATGGAAGGAAAGAGTCTTGGTAGTCATACCAGTAAAGATAGAGGAACATTAGCCTTGGATGATTCCTAATGCCATACACAAAGAAAATGGTCTTGCCAGGATAAACTGCCTGAAAGAATTGCAAGTGTAAACAAATATATTATATCAAACCTACAAGAACAGTTTGGAAATCCATGCCCATAAGTTGCATTACATGCTAAGGTTTCCTCTTTTTTTGTAAGGACATTTACAGGCACATATATACTATAAAGAGAAAAGAATACATCAAAATGATTCAAATTGGTGGTAAACGCGTGTAAACATGCAATAGTACATCTATGTTTGAATAAACCTACATGGGCTTAGCACTTGCCTTGAATTCCCACAAGTTTTTAGGTGGTTTCACACCAAGATGCTGAGCTACTTGTATTGCCCCCAGTAATACTCTTTTGTGAACTGGTGGAATAGATGTACCAACTATTAACCCTAAATCTTCTTCTTGTAAGCTGCTCAGCAGATGACCATCTGTTAAAAAATGAAAAAATTATTATTGCTGCTACATCTAAATACAACATCAAAACTGTTTATCTTTTTCAACAGACCATCAATTTTTCCCTTGGATAGGTTATCTCAAGGTCATGTCATAGAAATAGCAGGGTACTGACAAGTAATGTTAACATACTCACTATAGCCCATAGCATGCCAAAAAATAGTACAGAAAATAACACATTATTTCACTGTACAGCAACCATGGCAAATGCAATTTAGGCTTAAATTCCAGTATCAGATTTATAGTATATATATATATATATATATATATATATATATATATATATATATTTCTCATACATGTAGATACTAAATTAAATGATCAAACCTATTTGATGTTCCTTGAATTTCCCAGCATACATCTGTTTTGCCCATTCACCATGTTCCCCAATCCAGTCAGCGACCTCTTCCACAGACCACTTCTGCACTGGTTTGTTCACCAACAAAGTACTGCCATCTCCATTAAACCAGCTTAAAGTCAACCAGGCAAACTTGAATACAAGAGAAATAGAATAATTGGTAAAACATCCATCTGTGTATGAAAATGCCCTAAAAATAAATCATGGACTCAAAAAAAAAAATGAATTCACCTGGTGAAATGAAATGAAATGTGTGTGTGTATGCATGTGTTGCAGTGAGTGTGTGGGGAGCAGAAAAGTGGTTAAAAACAACAAATCTAACAAATATTGATACATGTAGGATCAACTGCTGTGATATTCTAAAACAGTGAAAAGGTTAAACCCCTCAACACCAAAAGAAAAATTTTTTTTTTTAGTGATTGGGATATATAGTTTCCTAATATCATTTGTAACTAAAGACCCTAATGAACTAAGTCCACACTCAGATGCTGACGTTGTATACATACCACTGCAACTGTCAGAGATATACACAGTCCAGAACAAAAGCCACCAGCCAAAGCCCCACCAAACAACTGGTTAGCCAGGTTTCTTGCTTGAAAATTGTGCTGAAAAACTCTTTGTGTTCCTAAAGAGAGCTGCTGCTGCTGGGTCATCTTTCTGTCAAATTCTGCTACTGCCAGTGCTAAATTTGAATCTTTTTGTAGTTCATTCCATCTTTCTGTATATTTTTCACTCATGAATTGCTTTAGTAATGATCTGAAAATAGAATAATTCACTGTCATATTATTCAAGCCCCCCAAATAGTTAGGATGCTTATTTTCTTAGATATATTTACTCACATAACTGTAGAAATGCTGTTTGTTGTTCATGAGAGCCAGAATCACCCTTTTCAAACTGGACTAGACAGTTTTCAATTTTGCCTGTGCCATATACTTCACACCAGGCAAAATAGCTGACAAAACTTACCTCAAGTTAATGTTCACTTTAGGGTGTCCAACCCAAGCCTGTTGACAGACTGGACAGGATTGCCTCTGACCCGCCAGATACCACTGTGCCAGGCAGTGTCTGCATAAGTTGTGTCCACAGTTTAATGTTGTTGGATCTATCAACATTTCAAAACATACAGGACAATTGAAATCCATTTCTTGCAAAGTGGGCCTCTGAGTAAGATAAGGTGGCCTGTCCATGTCAGCTGACATGGTAATTCTTCTTAAAGATTAAACTCCTTACTGGATCTCACAACTTCCTGAAAGGCAAAAATTAGAGTACAGTAGTTTTTTTTTTAGGTGTTTGACATTGTACTGAAAAAGCATTTATTTACAAGTGGATCTAATCTACTGAGTTACTAGAGTCATCTAGATACTTCGCCAAAGATTCTTGTCTCATTTCATAAGGGATCAAAAGTAGTTTTAAACTCTACATGTATTGTTTAATATTTCAGAGACTATCATAATTTTTTTTTTTTTTTAATGTAGTAGTGATTTGACAATCCACATTAAAACGTTTACATTTTCATCACCATCACCTCATGCTGATGCAAAAGATGCAAAATAAACATAGATCTATACAAAGGGTCTAGCATGTAATGGCATAAAAAATAGCCCTATGTTACATGGGCCTACTACATGTAGTATCCTACATTTTGTACCCTTCCTCGATCCTCAACCCTGGCAAAATCCTGCAACTGCCAGTGCATACAAAACTGGGACTGGATCACTGATTCCAATAACACTTTTTAATTTCATAAGAAATAAATGTACTATTATACCGGTGCATTCTTATTCTTCTATAACAAAATATCTCTGATGTTGCCTAGTACATGTATTTCTAGTTTCACTTTCGCGTTTTTATTGTAGTGGAAGCTTGTAAATGTTGAAGGCCCTTACTTTAGGCTCCTTCAGATTGCTATATTCGAAGTCCTCTGACACTTAAAACTCACCTCACAGTATTATGCTGGGGCACTAGGGCCATGAACCAGTGGAAATTTCGTATAACAATCATCAACAGGAGGTACAGACTGTGTTTAGACTATATCTGGCCGGTCCCGTCGAAGTGCAGCGCGCACATGGAATGCGCATGTGACGTCATTCAATACCAAGGCATTCCCAGCCTAAAATATAGTCAGGCCTTGGTGCACATGNAGGGGAATAATAAAAAGCTGAATGTCAGATGGATATATTGGTATAAGCTGCGATGGGGAGTGGAGGGGGGACCTCTGGTGGCCTTTCTCTTTAAACATACGCGCGAGACCTCTGGCGGCGGTCTACCAATAACCTTTCACTGCTTGGACTACGTGTACTATAAGTACATGATGTTAACATCATAATCTCCGCTAAACTTGAATTATCATTTGTAAAAATAAATCAATTATGCAAATTTTGCATTTGGGTGAACACCATCAAAACATATGCAAAAAAAAATAATAACTTAAATGCTGACAATACTGACTTCAAAAATCAGTCTGCTTTTTATCCCAACAAAACTAACAAAATTTGAAACATTAAAATAGTTTGACAGTTATAGAAGTGTTTTGTACCAGTAGTAATGACAATGACATGGCAGGCCCGTAGTCAAAACTGCCCTTTTTCCACTATGGGTAAAAATTGGTTTATAGGTACACAAATAAGTTTCATGGTAAAAGGTCCACTCTGCCAGAAAATAAAACACCCCTTTGGAAATGGGCCTGTATAGACAGCACAGAGATCAAACTATTTTCAGATACTTACAATTTCGGCATATTAAAAACTCCACTGATAATTATTGTTGTACAAAATATTTTATTCAAAATGAAATTTCAATCATACATGTAGATAATCATAGGGAAAAAAAATTAAAACTGCTATTTCACCCTCAAAAAAAAATCTAATTACATGGTTTACAACACAAAATTAATGTCACTGTTACTGGAGATTTAAAGACTCCTTACAAGTTTAACCTACCAAAATGAATCTTCTGCTTTTCATTCAAGGCTAAGTTCTACATGACTACTGACCAGCCAATTAAGATCCCATGTCTTCTTATACAGTTCAGAAAAAAATACATATATTGACATCAGGTAATTTTATTATTTTATTTTATTTTATTTTATATATTTTATTATTTTATTATTTTGTTATTTAGTTTTGAAAGCCTTAATTGGGAAAGATGTGTAGCTTTGCCAGATATGAAGCAAGTAGTCACAGTTTTTTTTTTTTCAAACGTGTACAGTTTACCTTTTATATTTGCTTCTTAAAATTATACTATATAGCACTAGACTAAGTATTTGTTGTCACTTGGACATCTGATTTTATTGATAGGTAGTTAAAAACAAGATATTTCAAAATCTGTTAAAAAAATAACCAAAAAGTCTGACATCTTCCCTCTCAAAACAAATGTCTAATGATATGATTTAAATTAATTTCAATGTAACTGGGATTACAATATTTGCTTCTTAAAATAATACAACAATACTGGAATTTGTTGTCACTTGGATATCTTTGTTAATATTAAATATGACAAGGATCTACACACTTTCCACAACCTTAACTTTCTGGGATTTGTAAAATTATTACACTAACATGGCATCTAAATATGACTAAATTTCAGTCCAATTTAAATGACAAACCAACCCCAAGCTGTACATACACATAAATATAACTTCAGTTTCCATTTACTCAATTCTTCAGTATGTATGATTATAGTCTTTTATTGAAATTTAGTAGAAATCAAAAACCTGGACCTTCACCTGTAATTGTTTATATGAACATGAGAGAAAAACACCCTCTGTTATGCCAAAAAAATATTATAAATGAAAATAATTATTCTTTGGTAGTTAAAAATAAATTCATATGTCAAAATATGTTAATGAATAACTTAATAATATCAGGTACTTTATTCAAAAGCCAATTCATTGCATATTAAATAGCACTACACCTGCAACTCCAAATAGCTGCCAAAACATTTTAGAAAAGTCAAACTCCTGAGTTCCAGCTTCAACACAAACAGGTACATTCATGAAAGTTACTGAGCACCCATAGCCCGTTGTCTGCACAAGTCAAGAGTAAGAATTGGGTCCACATATACTGTCATGTAGAACCAAATGTTTATTAGAAAACCCGGAATCAGTGGCCACAAGAAGTAGGGCACCAACATTCCAATGACTTGGCCAAGGATGAACTGGATACTGAAATAACAATGAATGTGATAATGATTACAGTACTGTTGTACTCATTAAAAAGTAAAATCTCATCTTTGCATTTTTCATGTGACATGATTATTATATTCCACATAGAGTGTTGTGTTATTTTATGTATTCAAATGTGTCTGAAATTTACAATATCTAAAAACCCATATTTATGGCTTAATATACATAACTGAAATTAAGGCAGCTTAATAAGGTGTTTGCAGACTGAAATAATGTGTCAGTGTCACACATCATAAAGATTGCACTTGCATGTTAAAAGAACTATAAAGGATAAAAAAAAATGTAAAGTTTATTGGACATCTCACCTTAACTTTGGCTCTGACCAGAATTTTTTTACAGCTAAGGCTTCCTGCACTGTGCAGCTGATGCAGCTGATAAGGACAAGGTTTGAAGTCCACCAGTGCACACTCATCCAGTCCCAGGTAAATACAGCTATTAACCAGTAAGGACAAAGAATCAGCTGGGGTAAAAATCTACACCACTGTCCTAATGTAGGAGGAGGAGCCTGAAATTGAGAAGAAATGTACTAGTACTATGAATTATGCCAACTCCCACAGTGAGGCTCTACAAATTTCTTCTTTAAAATGCACATTTCAGACTTACAAAAAATAAACTTTTAAAACATATGGGTCGTTTCATTATTTCAGCAACATAAAAGGGATAACTGTACAGTTACTGCCGTTTTGTCCAATAAACTAAATTTCCTGGGGTAAGCAATGATTTTTCCTTACTTACTAATGGTTAATGAATCCATTCCGGCATTCAAAGTGAGTCCACGTTTTTTTCTAAAAAGTTTGCTTTTTTGCAATACCTTCTTAAAAGATTATGTCATACAAAACTGCTGTTATCCCTTTAAGTAAGTCACTTTTCACTAGCATGCTTGCACCTACCCTATTAGCCATCAGCATTTCATCTGAGACATTAGCCACAGGAGCAACTTTATGTATAAATGGAAGGAAAGAGTCTTGGTAGTCATACCAGTAAAGATAGAGGAACATTAGCCTTGGATGGTTCCTAATGCCATACACAAAGAAAATGGTCTTGCCAGGATAAACTGCCTGAAAGAATTGCAAGTGTAAACAAATATATTATATCAAACCTACAAGAACAGTTTGGAAATCCATGCCCATAAGTTGCATTACATGCTAAGGTTTCCTGTTTTTTCTAAGGACATTTACAGGCACTTATACTATAAAGAGAAAAGAATACATCAAAATGATTTAAATTGGTGGTAAACAAGTGTAAACATGCACTAGTACATCTATGTTTGAATAAACCTACATGGGCTTGGCACTTGCCTTGAATTCCCACAAGTTTTTAGGTGGTTTCACACCCAGATGCTGTGCTACTTGTATTGCCCCCAGTAATACTCTTTTGTGAACTGGTGGAATTGACCCACCAACTATTAACCCTAAATCCTCTTCTTGTAAGCTGCTCAGCAGATGACCATCTGTTAAAAAATGAAAAAATTATTATTGCTGCTACATCTAAACACAACATCAAAACTGTTTATCTTTATCATACAGCACAATACTTTTCAACAGACCATCAATTTTTCCCTTGGATAGGTAATCTCAAGGTCATGTCACAGAAATAGCAGGGTACTGACAAGTAATGTTAACATACTCACTATAGCCCATAGCATGCCAAAAAATAGTACAGAAAATAACACACTATTTCACTGTACAGCAACCATGGCAAATGTAATTTAGGCTTAAATTCCAGTATCAGAGTTATAGTATATATATATATATATATATTAGTACACATTTCTCATACATGTAGATACTAAATTAAATGATCAAACCTATTTGATGTTCTTTGAATTTCCCAGCATACATCTGTTTGGCCCATTCACCATGTTCCCCAATCCAGTCAGCGACCTCTTCCACAGACCACTTCTGCACTGGTTTGTTCACCAACAAAGTACTGCCATCTCCATTAAACCAGCTTAAAGTCAACCAGGCAAACTTGAATACAAGAGAAATGATCATTGGTAAAAGATCCATTTGTGTCTGAAAATACCCTAGTAATATAAATCATGGACTCAGAGAAAAAATGGATTCAGCTAGTGAAATGAAGTGTGTGTGTGTGTATGCATGTTGTGAGTGTGTAGGGAGTAGAAAAGTGGTTAAAAAAACAAATCTAACAGATATTGATACATGTAGGATCAACTGCTGTGATATTCTAAAACATTGAAAAGGTTTAACCCCCTCAACCCCATCACCAAAAGAAAAATATTTTTATTTAGTGATTGGGATATAGTTTTCTAATATCATTTGTAACTAAAGACCCTAATGAATTAAGTCCACACTCAGATGCTGACTTTGTACACATACCACTGCAACTGTCAGAGATATGCACAGTCCAGAACAAAAGCCACCAGCCATAGCCCCACCAAACAACTGGTTAGCCAGGTTTCTTGCTTGAAAATTGTGCTGAAAAACTCTTTGTGTTCCTAAAGAGAGCTGCTGCTGCTGGGTCATCTTTCTGTCAAATTCTGCTACTGCCAGTGCTAAATTTGAATCTTTTTGTAGTTCATTCCATCTTTCTGTGTATTTTTCACTCATGAATTGCTTTAATAATGATCTGAAAATAGAATAATTCACTGTCATATTATTCAACCCCCCCCCCCCCCCAAATAGTTAGGATACTTATTTTCTTAGATATATTTACTCACATAACTGTAGAAATGCTGTTTGTTGTTCATGAGAGCCAGAATCACCCTTTTCAAACTGGACTAGACAGATTTCAGTCTGCCTGGATTTCAATCTTGCCTGTGCCATATTCTTCACCCCAGGCAAAATAGCTGACAAAACTTACCTCAAGTTAATATTCACTTTAGGATGTCCAACCCAAGCCTGTTGACAGACAGGACAGGATTGCCTCTGACCAGCCAAATACCATTGTGCCAGGCAGTGTCTGCATAAGTTGTGTCCACAGTTTAATGTTGTTGGGTCTATCAACATTTCAAAACATACAGGACAATTGAAATCCATTTCTTGCAAAGTGGACCTCTGAGTAAGATAAGGTGGCCTATCCATGTCAGCTGACATGATAATTCTTCTTAAAGATTAAACTCCTTACTGGGTCTCACAACTTCCTGAAAGGGAAAAAATAGAGTAGTTTTTTTTCAGGTGTTTGACATTGTACTGAAAAAAGCATTTATTTACAAGTGGATCTAAACTACTGAGTTACTAGAGTCATCTACATACTTCGCCAAAGATTCTTGTCTCATTTCATAAGGGATCAAAAGTAGTTTTAAACACTACATGTATTGTTTAATATATCAAAGACAATCATAATTTTTTTAAAAAATGTAGTAGTGATTTGACAATCCACATTAAAACGTTTACATTTTCATCACCATCACCTCATGCTGATGCAAAAGATGCAAAATAAACATAGATCTATACAAAGGGTCTAGCATGTAATGACATAAAAAATAGCCCTATGTTACATGGGCCTACTACATGTAGTATCCTACATTTTGTACCCTTCCTCGATCCTCAACCCTGGCAAAATCTTGCAACTGCCAGTGCATACAAAACTGGGACTGGATCACTGATTCCAATAACACTTTTTAATTTGATAAGAAATAAATGTACTATTATACCGGTGCATTCTTATTCTTCTATAACAAAATATCTCTGATGTTGCCAAGTACATGTATTTCTAGTTTCACTTTCGCGTTTTTATTGCAGTGGAAGCTTGTAAATGTTGAAGGCCCTTACTTTAGGCTCCTTCAGATTGCTATATTCGAAGTCCTCTGACACTTAAAACTCACCTCACAGTATTATGCTGGGGCACTAGGGCCATGAACCAGTGGAAATTTCGTATAACAATCATCAACAGGAGGTACAGACTGTGTTTAGACTATCTGGCCGGTCCCGTCGACGTGCAGCGCGCACATGGACTGCGCATGTGACGTCATTCAATATAGTCAGGCCTTGGCGCACACGAGCTGTTCTTGTTGGGGTTGCTGATAAACTGCGGCGTCTTCCCACGTTTTGCACATAGAATTGCACGTTCACCGCGAAATGTTGATTAGTTTTTCACATGGTCACATGTTTTTTATGGCATTAAAATGACATAATAAAATAAATTATAATTTACTTCATACTCACTCAGTCCCAGTAGCATGTAGGCCTAATATTAGTAGGCCTACCCTGTAGAAAAGACTAGGCCGATTTGAAGAAAACAAAGAGTGAAAATGAAGTTAAATATTTATTAGCGAATTCTATTTTTTTTTTTTTTTTTTCTAAATTACTGGTGACAGAAAGTGAATTTTTAAATTTATGCTTCGCTAGAATGGGGAAATTTTCGTATTTTAGTAACGAAGATTTTAGCCGTTTTAGAAATGAAAGTTTTAGAAATAACCCTTTTGAATAATAGGCCCCTAATATCTGCAAGTTATTAATAAACTAATAAAAATCGGACCTATTGCGAGACCCACATTTATTTTACTGACACATTTTGTCCTAAGCCTCAAGTAGGCTATATTTTTTACAGTGCCTGGTAAATAAGGTTTTGCAAACTACTTTCAAAATGAATACAGTTTTGTCGTTTTTCCTGCAAAACATTTTAACTGTGCCCCGACACCATATCCTCTACAGTGTAGCTAATCATGGATGTAACTGAACTACTTTTCTAATGGCTAAAATGTTACAAAAACATCTAACAGCTAAAAGATTTTAACTGTCCCATAAGACGTAACGAATTTTTATTTTCAAAAAATTAAAAACCCGGCGACACCGCGAAAGTATATTAGAAAGTAGCTATTTTTTTATTTATTTAAACATTCTAGACATTTTCAGAGAAGTTGTTAATCATACTCGCTTCCTGCCAAGTTGCTACTTTATAAGAAAGGACAATGTTAGATGTTTAAAGCAACATTAACGAAGGTTCAAAATTTTGGAATTTTTTGTAAGATCAGATAAATCTAGTAATTATTTTCTTATTTTGTATGTTGCTAAACCCGTGATAGTTGCAATTGGACAAAAAATTCTTCTGCTCGCTTGCCTGTGGTTTTCATAAAAAATTATAAAATGGACTTTAAACTGAGGGAGAGTGACTGTGCTAGCAACAGTCCCGAAAAGTTAAAACTGGCAACATTTTACGGAAACTGGTAAAGTAGCCTACCTTTAATATCAAGAATGTATTACCAAGAATATTCAAACAAAATGGCTAAAATCAATCCAGAAAAATGCACCCTAAAGTGAATTTATTCTCTGCAGACTATAGGAAATATATGGTTTGTTTACACACCTGTAAACTCACGGGGCATTACATCAAGTTGACATAATGCAACACGCCGACGGAATATTAAAAAAGTCTTGATATACGGGCTGTCTCGACCTATGGTCTATGGTCTATTTGTATGTCAAAAGCAGTCGCGCGTGCAGTTTGTGCGATACCCAGCAGAGAAGGGTAGGTATAGGTCATACTGCTCTAAGGAATAGGGGATACTACATCTAATATATCCACAATGTATCTGTTAATTTAGTAAAGCAAGAAAAAATGGTGAGACACGGGCAGTAGATAAGCGAAAGAAAAGTATTTAAACAACTGCATAGCGAAGCACATTCCTATTTGCATTCAATCTGTGCCTATTAACTTTTTGCGTCGCCTATCGCCTACTAAGAGCATTTGTATCAGTATTTCCCCTCACTTCTCCATCCTCTTTTCCTTCTTTGCCTTGTGGCGCTTAGCTACAAGGACCAATGTCTACTGAGACTGTTAACGTGTGCTTAATTATTTTTTCTTCAAGCGTTTGCAAGAGGTGCCTGAGATGATAAAAAGTAACGCCAATGTTTTTGTACTAGTACAGATGCTAAGTTATAGACCAGCGTTAGCAGAAGTATGCATGTTTCTTATATATGCATGCTTTCATGGTACGATGTAACTTTTACTATAATAGTTACCTTATGTGATAAATAAGCAAACTCTTGCCATAATGTCGTTTTCCTTGTCTTATCCCGACCTTTATATCACCCCTACATTACATTTTGTACAACACATTTTATATAACCCTTCGATTTGTTGGCTACTTATTTTACCCTGTCTAGCTTATTTAATCTCTAGTCTTTTTAGCGTTCACTGGTTTTCATAATGTCTTAAAACATGAATATGTACATATATAAATTAAGTGATATTCTCTCTACGTGGCCTGAAGGCACTGCCATAGTTAAGGCCAACGTGCACCCTCCCTCGTGCACATTTTTATTTACCATCGTTTAGAATTATTTAGAATGCATGCCACCTCCTTCACTGTAAATCATTTCTTGGTTCAGTGACTTCAAATGAACCGATGTCTTTTGGCGATCAGCTTTATTATTATTATTTTTATTATTATTATTATTATTATTATTATTATTATTATTATTATTGGTGATGAATATGATTGAAAAAGTGTGATCGAATAACCTTTTCCGTTTCTTTTATCTGGAATAATTCTATAATTCAGACCACGAGTGTACCAAATTCGAAAAATTAGACACGTACAGTTTCTTCATTAAACAAAGATTGTTGGTTGTTGCTTTATAATACTGCACCGCTTTTCTGGCGTTGGTGGTTTACATACAACCTAATTTGGTAACCTAATTTAGTAAAGATTTATCTCATTTTCTTCTTCAGAATGATGCAGAAATTTGAAATAACGGAAGGTGGCACTACTCCTGCAGGTAACTTTATATATCAAGGCATTAAAAAACAATAAAATATTGTTGATAATATGTTGTTTTTACAAATATTTTTGGTTTGACTCTTCATGGAGTCTAAATACATGTACATTGTTTATGTCAACAAAATGTCAATCAACAATGTTGTTTTTCTAGCTGGGCTTTCTACCAGTAGTTCAGGAAACAGAAATTTGATAGTACTGGTAGCAGTGTGTGCAATCGTCGCCGTAATAGCTATAGTTATAGCTGTAGTGGCAGTATCGAGATCCTCGACCACACCAAACATCACCATTCAAGGCAACCAAACGACAACAGGTGGCGGCACCTCTGCAGGACAAGGATCGTCTGCAGGAACTCGGATCTTCACGCTTGCCGTAGGACATGACTGGGGCGCTCACGAATATATGTAGGTGGATTTTTCTGTGGAAAAAATACACAAAGTAATCTCTGCCGATGACAATAGTAAAAAGACGTGGTATAACCCACATTTGCTTATGCAGTAGGCTAAAAAAAGCTCCTTCAAATCCTTCTACAGTAGTCTTTCGAGGATTTCCTGAATTTAGTACTGTCCTGACGTTGACAAATATATCTGCCATATTATGTACCTCTATATGTTTTTGGCAAATTAGATAATTATTTTTCGGTTTTTCATATATAATGAGAACTAAGGCAAACAAAATAACAAAACTAATTTCTTGAAAACAAACACAACATAACCCAATTAAGTAAAAAAAATAACACGACAAAGACATCTTTTCTGTACAAAATTGAGGGGAATTCTGCAAAATTTCTTTAATATATACAACAATGCTCAGCCATATGTACAAGGTTTTCATTACCACTGCTTTAGAAACTATAAACTGTACCGTCATAGTAGAAGTGGGCAACTTTGGCTTACTCGATTTTTGGATTTGTGAGTACCTTATAGCTTACAATAGAGTGTGTCAACAATGAAAACAGCATTTCTTTTGTTTTATTGGGCAACTTCGACTTACAATAGAACACACTTTTGTCAACCGTAGTAGCCAAACATGTAAGATTGAACTCTAATAATTTTGACAGTTACTTCACTGTTGACAGACTCTAATAAAATTGTAAGTCAAAGTTGCCCAATACCCCTGTATGTAAGCTTAAACTCTTAGAATTTTTTATACAGCTACTTCACTGTTGACACACTCTATTGTAAATCAAAATTGCGCAATAAAACAAATTAAATGCTGTCTTCATTGTTGACACACTCTATTGTAAGCTATAATTAAGGTACTCGAAAATCCAAAAATCGAGTAATTAAGCCAAAGTTGCCCACTTCTACTCGTCATTGACATACATGTATGTAAAGTCTTTTCTTTTTGAGGAAGACATTTTAATCGACACAGTGTGGTTTTTATACATATAATTAGCAATAAAAGGCTAGGATCGAGGTACACTGTAATAAAGCTGCCCAACATTATCACATATGAAACACGTGCTAACATTCATATCCATAACACATAGCTGTAATGTTCCTATTTCAGAGACACCACTGGCTACTTGGCAGGCTTCCATTATGATTTAATCGACGCAGGTAAATCGACATTTCATTTTAATTGAAATGTTAAGTAATTATCGCATTTCAACAAATTTGATCACTGTTCCCCCTTCCCCCCTCCTCTCCACATTATATGCCCTGTCACTCACTTAACAATTTAAGGACGTATTTCGGTTGCTGACAAATTATACAAGTTGATATGTAAGGCAGAAATGGGAATCTTCCAAAATTGTCTCAATGTCGCAACTAAGCATGGAATCAAGCGAGATTTCTAGGGATTTGATGGAGAGTGTGGCCAGAAACAATGGCATATTAGCTTGTAGGGTAACAAAGAAAAGATGACATAATATTTGCAAGGATAATTTTCTGTGTTTTTTTTTTACTTAAGTTTTGTCTTTTGCACAACAGTCCCAGCGTGAATTCACCATTATGTGTCACTTCTGTATTACTTTGAGCAAGAAAGAAGACATTACCGTGTATAGAGTTTCACCCTTTTGTTAAAAGCTTAGCCCCAGCTAGTCTAGTCTTGTGTGACGTCAGCCATTACTGACAGCCTCGGTTTAGACCATCTTGGATGATTTCCATGACAGTATATTGATAAATATAGTAACTACTGAAGACAATATATACGTATACAGTATAATAACACATATTGTCTATTGTACGTGTAATTGGTATGTTAATATACTACAAGAAA